CATACCTGGACCATAAAAGACTAGTAAGTCACAGTTTTGGCAGTCTTGGAAGGAAACATATCACTATTGCAGAGTCACTGAGGGTGAAATTGGCTCAGGACAATAAACATCTCTATGTTTCAGTGATAAGGAAATTCAAAGAATTAAATGTGCATATATGAACTGGGCATACAAATAGGCAGCGCTAACCTGGTTCTTTAATCTCTTATTGTCCTTTCTCTCATTACCAAACCCCACCCCCTGCTCAAATCTGGTAGATATTTTAGTGGAATAATAAAATGGTTTCATTTTCTGTAATTATGTAAATCTAAGCATGCCTGTTTTAGCATACCTGGAGTCCTTCAGAACTACTTTTTCCCCCCAACTATGATCAGGGTGAACAATTCAGGTTAGCAGATCATATTGTATTGCTTCCCCTGTCCCACTAACCATTATGATCACTGCAAGTGCTAGTTGCCAGATAGGAGCTGGGAGTCCATTCCCTCCTGTGAGGAGGCCAACCAGCCCATGCTGTCATTGGTTTCAAGAGCCATTCAGGGGCCTCTACCACCACCAGGTCTCCCTGATGGTGCAAGGGGTTAAGCACCACACTATGAAGCAATTTGTGGCCTCTGCAGCATGAGTTCGATCCCAGGCTGGCCAGGAAGCTACCCACATGGCACAGCAGACTGCTCCTGACTCACCCACTGCTTCCCTCAGCTGTGTATTTTGGCCACTCTGCCTGTTCTGCTCCCTACTCTGTCTTTGGTGGATCCTCTCACCCCCCATATCTCTGGCCTGTACCCCAGCTCTTGTATGCATAAATAAATAAATCTTAAAAACAAACAAACAAACAAAAAGAGCCATTCACACAAGAGTCATAGGCGTCATTTGGCCCAATGACTTTCTTGTATTTGAGGAAACTAAATTTTCACAGGATTGTTATAGGTTTCCTGGATCACTTAGGGGGTAAGTGACAATAGAGCAGACTTGGGACAAGAACCCAAGATTTCTCCACTCCCAAAATGGTTCCATATTTTGAAAACTCCCATGTTCATGGAGATGTAGCAACACTCTAAGGAATGAACACTCTTCCCAGGTTGTATGAACTAACTAAAATTATGTTAAATTTCTTTAGCCAAAATCTTCAGGAATACTTTTTTTTTCCACTGAAAAAATATTGTTGATTGACTGCTTAATTATTTTATTACATCATTGTTAATTTTGTGCTGTATTTGATATCTTCCTCAGGTGTTGTCCCCATAGTACTCCCGCCACCAAAGGACCAGTGATCCATCACTACAGTCTCTTGTGCTCTTCCTCCCCTGATCTGACTGCTCTACCTTCTTCTCCTCTGCTGTAAGTCCCAGATCTATGGTCAGCTTGTAGGTTTTGTCTTTTTTTCCTGACACTTTTGGTTGGTTTCTCTATATTTCACATATAAGTGAAACCATTCAATTGCTCTTTTTCCATCTGACTTACTTCGCTTAGCGTAATCCTTTCCAACTCCATCCATGTTGCTGCAAATGTTGTGAGTTTATTCTCTTCAGTTTCATGGAAACAATGGAATAGATTTCAGAGCTGTAAAATAAACCCATTCCAAAAAATATTACAAGAAGCCCTAAAGCCAAAATCAACAGAGGAATGAATAGGAAGAACAGAATAAGGTAAGGAATAGAATCACACACACATACACACACAAAATAGCAAATACAGATGCCAAATCTATCAATATTAACTCTAAATGTAAATGGACTAAACTCATCAAGACACAGAGTAGCAGGCTGGATTAAAAAATAAAATCCAGGGCCTCCCCTGGTGGCGCAGAAGTTGAGTGCTGGCCTGCGAAGCTGCCCGCAGCTCTGCAGTGCTGGTTCGATCCCTGGCCACCAGCGAGGGTCCCACATGGCACGCAGACCTTTCCTGTCATGCCCGCTGCTCCCCTCAGCAGTGTATTTCATCAGTCTGCCTGTTCTGTTCCTCGCTCTGGCTCTGAATGAATTCTCTCACCCTCCTGCACTTCTGACTGTACCCAGTGCTTGTATAAATAAAAATAAAATAAAATCTTTTAAAAAATAATAAAATCTGAACTTCTGCTCTCCCAGAAAACACATTTAACTACAAAAGATAAACATAGACTGAAAGTATAAGGTTGGAAAACAATCCTACAAGCAAATGGATCAAAAAAGTCGGTAGGAACAACTATACTTTTATCTAATGAAATAGACTTCAAACTAAAAAAGGTGAAAAAAAAAATAGATGGACACTACATTATAATTAAGGGGAGAAGATATAACAGGAAGATATAACACTTATCAATATATACTGACCAAATAAAGGAGCACCAAATATATCAATTATTTTCATCTCTGAAAACAGAGAAAATAGATACGTAGTAGAAGACTTCAACACACTACTCTTTCCAATGGGCATAACAATGAGACAAAAAATAAACAAGGACACCAGAGCCCTAAACAAAGACCTATATACCATGGGCTTAAAAGACATTTTTTTTTGGTTCTTTTTTTTTAAGATTTATTTATTTATTTATACAAGCACTGGGTACAGTCAGAAGCGCGGGAGGGCGAGAGAATTCACCAGAGCCAGAGCAGTTTACAGAACAGGCAGAAGGACTGAAGTACACTGCTGAGGGGAGCATCAAGCATGGCAGGAGAGGTCTGTGTGCCATGTGGGACTCAAGCCAGCCACCAGGAATCGAACCAGCGCTGCAGAGGCTGCGGGCAGCTTTGCAGTCTAGCACTCAACCACTGCGCCACCAGGGGAGGCCCAGGCTTAGTAGACATTTATAGAACACTCCACCCAAAACAATGCGAGCACACATTTATCTCAAGTGCACATGGATCATTCTCCAAGATTGATCACATATTGGGCCACAAGACAAACATCAACAGATACACTAAGATCAAAACAAGGACACACTAGCCCTAGACAAAGATCTAAATTACATGGGCCTAACAGACATTTTAGGACACTGCACTCCCCCCCCCAAATAAATGAATTCACTTTTATCTCAAGTGCACACAGATCATTATCCAAAATCTACCATATACTGGATCACAAGACAAATATCAACAAAGACATTTTATAAGAAAAGCTATAAAACACTGTTAAAAGAAATAGAAGACTCAAAAACTGGAAAAATATACCCTGCTCATGGGTTGGAAGTATCAATATTGTCAAAATGGCCATCATACCGAAAGCAAATTACAGATTCAATGCAATCCTAATAAGAATCCCAGTGGCACTCTGCAAAGAAATTGAACAAATATTTCTGAAATTTATATGAAACCACACACACACACACACACTCACACAAAGAAAAACACCCCTGAATATCCAAATCTCTCCTGGCTATCTCTCCTCTCCAGACTAAGAGGAAAAAAGTTTAAGTATCACACTTGCAATTTCAAACTGTACTATGAAGCCATAATAGTTAAAACAGCATGTTCTGGAACAAAACAGACATACAGAAAAATGGAATAGATTTCAGAGCTGTTGAAATAAACCACACATCTATGGACAATTAATATACAAAAGGGAGCAAAGTTTATACACTGGAACAAGGAAAGCCTCTTCAATAAAAGATTCTAGGAAAATTGTAAATCCACAAGCAAAAAATGAAAAAAAAGAAACAAACTAGACCACTATCTCAAGCCATACATGGAAATCAAGTCAAAATTGATAAAGGACTTGGATATAAGATATGCAATTGCAAAATGCATAAAAGGTAAAACACTCCATGACAAACTTCAGAAACATGTTTGAGGACTTGTCTCCATTAGCAAGAAAAGTAAAGGAGACTGTAAACAGATGGGAGTACATCAAACAAAAACACTTCTATACAGCAAAAAAAGACAGCAACCACAATGAAGAGACACCCTACTGAACGGGAGAAAATATTGGCACACCATACATTTGATCAGGGACTGCTATCTATATAGTGCTATCTATATAGATCTATAAAGTGCTTATGTAGCTCAACAAAACCAAAGCAAACAACCCAATTCAAACATGGGCAGAAGAGCTAAAAAGACATTTCTCCAAAAAAATCCAGATTGCCACAGGCATGTGAAAAAAAAATGTTCAACATCACTTATTATCAGAGAAATGCACCTCAAACCACAATGAGATACTACCTCACACCTGTGAGAATGGTCCATGTCCAAAAAAAAAGAAAAAAAAAAGAGAGAGAAGAAAACAAAGAATTGCTGGTGAGGAGGTGGCAGAAAAGGAACTTTTAGACTGCTGGTGGGAATGCAAACTGGTCCAGCCATTATGGGAAGCTGTGTGGAGGGTCCTCAACACACTAAATATGGATCTACCACATGACCCAATGATACCACTCCTAGGAATCTACCCAAAGGACACAAAGAAAATTCAAAAGAAAACCTGTACTCCATTTGTTTACTTCAGCATTATTTATAATAGTGAAGGTATGGAAATAACCCAAATGCCCCAAAATAGATGAATGGATCAAGAAGATGTGGTATAAGGCCTCCCTGGAGGCACAAGGGGCTGTGTCACCACTATGAAGCCATCCACAACTACTGCAGCCCAAGTTCGATCCCCAGCCAGGGGGGTGACCCACATGGTGCAGCATACCTCTCCTGTCTCACCCGCTGTCCCCATCAACAGTGCGTTTCAGTCAGTACACCTGTTCTGTTCTTCACTCAGTCTCTGATGAATCCTCTCACCCCTGTATCTCTGGCTTGTATCCCAGTTCTTGCATGCATAGATAAATAAATCTTTTAAAAAAATTTAAAAAAGAACATATAGTACATATATACACAATGGAATACTACTCTGAAACTGAAGAGAATAAACTCACAACATTTGCAGCAACATGGATGGAGTTGGAAAGGATTACGCTAAGCGAAGTAAGTCAGATGGAAAAAGAGCAATTGAATGGTTTCACTTATATGTGAAATATAGAGAAACCAACCAAAAGTGTCAGGAAAAAAAGACAAAACCTACAAGCTGACCATAGATCTGGGACTTACAGCAGAGGAGAAGAAGGTAGAGCAGTCAGATCAGGGGAGGAAGAGCACAAGAGACTGTAGTGATGGATCACTGGTCCTTTGGTGGCGGGAGTACTATGGGGACAACACCTGAGGAAGATATCAAATACAGCACAAAATTAACAATGATGTAATAAAATAATTAAGCAGTCAATCAACAATATTTTTTCAGTGGAAAAAAAAAGTATTCCTGAAGATTTTGGCTAAAGAAATTTAACATAATTTTAGTTAGTTCATACAACCTGGGAAGAGTGTTCATTCCTTAGAGTGTTGCTACATCTCCATGAACATGGGAGTTTTCAAAATATGGAACCATTTTGGGAGTGGAGAAATCTTGGGTTCTTGTCCCAAGTCTGCTCTATTGTCACTTACCCCCTAAGTGATCCAGGAAACCTATAACAATCCTGTGAAAATTTAGTTTCCTCAAATACAAGAAAGTCATTGGGCCAAATGACGCCTATGACTCTTGTGTGAATGGCTCTTTTTGTTTGTTTGTTTGTTTTTAAGATTTATTTATTTATGCATACAAGAGCTGGGGTACAGGCCAGAGATATGGGGGGTGAGAGGATCCACCAAAGACAGAGTAGGGAGCAGAACAGGCAGAGTGGCCAAAATACACAGCTGAGGGAAGCAGTGGGTGAGTCAGGAGCAGTCTGCTGTGCCATGTGGGTAGCTTCCTGGCCAGCCTGGGATCGAACTCATGCTGCAGAGGCCACAAATTGCTTCATAGTGTGGTGCTTAACCCCTTGCACCATCAGGGAGACCTGGTGGTGGTAGAGGCCCCTGAATGGCTCTTGAAACCAATGACAGCATGGGCTGGTTGGCCTCCTCACAGGAGGGAATGGACTCCCAGCTCCTATCTGGCAACTAGCACTTGCAGTGATCATAATGGTTAGTGGGACAGGGGAAGCAATACAATATGATCTGCTAACCTGAATTGTTCACCCTGATCATAGTTGGGGGGAAAAAGTAGTTCTGAAGGACTCCAGGTATGCTAAAACAGGCATGCTTAGATTTACATAATTACAGAAAATGAAACCATTTTATTATTCCACTAAAATATCTACCAGATTTGAGCAGGGGGTGGGGTTTGGTAATGAGAGAAAGGACAATAAGAGATTAAAGAACCAGGTTAGCGCTGCCTATTTGTATGCCCAGTTCATATATGCACATTTAATTCTTTGAATTTCCTTATCACTGAAACATAGAGATGTTTATTGTCCTGAGCCAATTTCACCCTCAGTGACTCTGCAATAGTGATATGTTTCCTTCCAAGACTGCCAAAACTGTGACTTACTAGTCTTTTATGGTCCAGGTATGCAAAAGACTAAACATTTATTTGCTATACCACATAACAGATATTAAGCTGACCTTTTTCTCCCTCACTAATGTTATGTTGCAGTGGTGGTGGTGGAGGAGGCTTATTTATCTTTTTAATGCAAATCTGTTTCTTTCTCAGATTGTTAAGTCTATTTTTAAAATCTACTTGAACTTGAACATAATATATTTTATGGACAATTTCCCTCCTCACCATTTTACTCCCCAATAAAACCCAAGTGCAAGTAGACTGAGAAAACAGAATTAGAGGTGGCTGCTCATACTCCGGAGGGAAAGTGTGGCACATATCCCACTGTTGTGACTCACTGAGACAGCCAGAGGATCATTCAAGTCCTAAAGAGAATTTTAAGGGTCTGAATTACCCACTTTCGATGTCTACATCTGTCAAATTAACTGCCCTCTTGTCTAATTCTTATTCATGGGGTAACATATAGCTATAATTAAACATGAAATATATGGGGTCAATTTCTAATAGTAAGACTTGCTCAGCGACAGAGCATGTGAAAACTGAGTAATTTCCATTTCTAATGACTGGAAACTCCATTGAGTCATGGTTGGATTAGATGCATCCTTGACTGTGGGATGGAAAGAGAAAATGTCTTCTAAAAGACTTTAGTGTTTTCATTAACTTAAGCATATTCTTTCCTAAATGTATTGTGTTCTGTCTATATATCCTCTCAAAATGCAATTACATTTTTCTTTTTCATATTTTTCAGCCAAATTTTCACTACCTTGTGCCTATAATTATTCTGGAAATACATGACATAGTGGAATAAAACTGAAATACAGGACTACAATGTCTGCCAAGTGAACCAGGATGGGAGAAACTTAGAGTCACACCACTTACTGAATCAAACTAGATTCATGCGTTATATCAGTGGATGTTCGGGATATTCTAGCAACACGAATTTATAGAGATTTTTATAACATTGAAATTATTATTCAAGCAGTATAGGAATCCACCAAGAGCGGTTGGGGAGGAACCTGTGCGTTATTCCATGCACCTTTTTTCTCTGTTTATATGCACACATTTGTCATAAGCTCTCCTTCTTTGTTATCTGTCTGCTTAACATGTGACCCATTCTTTAGCTAACTGTGTTTAGATCACTCTGTATTGAAAGTGCTGTGCAATGCTGAGTACAGCTAGGATGAATGCAGATTTAGGAAGCTCTTCCAAAATGAAACTGCTTTTTGCTGCTCCTGCTGTGCACCTCTTTTACCATCACTGTGGCATACACTGAGAAGTGATGCATAAACCTGGAAAGTCTACAGTCTAGGCTAATTCAATTCATATCTGACTAAAACACCCCAGAGAGCAAATGCACACTATTAACAGAGAGGTGCTGTCCCAAGTCCCCAGAGTTGGGTTAATTGTCCAGCCTGAGTCCATGTTCTGTGTTACTCCATAGGCCCATCTCTCTCACCCAGACGTGGTTTTATCAAGAAAGTTCTCTGAATGCCAAGTGGAATTCATTATTTATTGTCTTCCTATATTTATCTGTGTACAGAATGTGAAAGGTATAGGTATAAGACCCATGGGCCTCCCTGGTGGCGCAGCAGTTGAACGCTGGGCTGCGAAGCTGCCAGCAGCCTCTGCAGCGCCGGTTCGATCCACGGCCATTGGGCGAGGGTCCCACACCGTCCCGCTCTTCTGACTATACACACTGCTTGTATAAATAAATGAATAAATAAATATATAAATAAATACCCATGGGCATTTGGGAACCTGGAAGAATAAATAAATACATAAGCTTTTTTTTTTTTTTAAATGCTTGGAATTTAGAGGATTCCTAAAAATCACTACTGGCTGCAACACATCTATTTACAGCCCAGAAAGAAAAGAAGTAAGTGAAATTATTATAAGTATTTTTTTTTGGCTTCGATTCATTTATCACACACACTCCTTGCTTGATATCAATATGCCCCATATCTCTCCCTTTTAAAATAAACCTGGCTATAGAATATTGACTTTAAGAAATGACCAGGCATAGGGCCTCCCAGGGAGGGAGCACCACACTGTGAAGCTGTCCTCAGACTCTGCAGCGTGGGTTCGATCCCAGCCGGCTGGCGAGAATCCCACATGGCACAGCAGACCTCTCCTGTCTCACCTGCTGCTCCCCTCAGCAGTGTATTTCATCAGTCTGCCTGTTCTGTTCCCCATTCTGTCTCTGGTGAATCCTCTCACCCTCCCGCATATCTGTCCTGTACCCCGGTTCTTGTATAAATAAATGAATCTTTAAAAAATATATGCTAATAGGTGAGTGATTTTTCAACCAGTGGTGCTTAGACTATGTGACAATACCAGCTTGCTAATATTAATGGTTTAGTAAATTTACATTATTTAAGATAGGCTTTTTTATTCAAATAGCTTAATGTTAGGGAAAAAAACAGAAAGGGGAGTATTTGGCATTAGTTCTACCTGGACAAGACTCAGATTGGTGAACTATTGTGAATATTTCAGTGACATGTCACTTCTGATATGACGGATACTTAGCAATTACTGATCTTATATTGCAGTAACAGAGCTGGCATTGAAAGTGGAAACTGGAGTGATAAATGGAAATGACAATTTATTGAAGTTATAAAGCCTAATTAGTGTTGGATGTAGATGCACCCTTTTAAGAAAGAGGTTGATGATGAAAGGAAAAAAAAGTCCAAGTGAAAAGGTAATTTAGAATGTGAAATTAACCTTTTGGGAAGAAAGACATACTTGAGGTACACAACAAAGTTATAAACAAATGCAGAAATCCTACAAACTTAGCAGCAATACACTTTCAAAATAACAAAGGCATTCATGAAGCAGATGTAACACACCACACGTTTCGGACATTGATGGTAGCATCTCCCACTCTCCTGACTGCTACCTTCATTCTTTCTGACCATTTCTGTTCCCCACTGGGTACCATATCACAGAAGCCTGTTTGGAGGATGTTTTGAACTTGAACTGAGACCTCTGACTTCACTCCTATCCTTGGCATGATCATTTTCATATAGACTGGTTAACTTGTTGGGGGCTGAGTTAACCTTTTCAGATAAAAATGGAGGACATGAAATACTGAGACCAAAAGTGCTTTGGGGAGAAATTAATCTCTTCAGTTCATATCTCTCATATCAGTTTATGCATAAACTGATAAAGGAGAAACACTGGGCCATTATTAATAATAAATCACTAACAAAAGTTCTTTTTACTTTCATTAATGTGACAATGATTTACAACACTGTATGATTTACAAATGCAGGATTCAACCTCTTCAGGTGCATGTTACCACACCACACCCACCACCAAGGCTCCCTTTGTCTCAACCACAGTCCACTGTGCACCTTCCAGGCTCTCCTCACCACATTCCTCCCATGATTCTGGTAACCTCAGTTTTATAGTCATAGTCCTGGTGTTTGTCTTTAATTTGTGCTATCTGACTCTTTGTTTTGTTTTTTTTTTGTCTATATTCTATATATGAGGAAAGTCATCTTGTATTTGTCTTTCTCCTGACTTGTTTCACTTTGCATTATCCCTCTAGTTCCATCCATGTTGTTGCAAATGGCAAGAGTTCATCTTTTTTTTACATATCTGAGTGGTATTCCATTTTTTCTACAGATAGATGATGATTGACTGATAAATGCATATATAGATGCAGATATATCGATACATAGATATCACATCTTCATACACTAATCTGTCCTTAGAAAGTAAGGTTGTTGCATAACTTGGCTATAGTAAATAGTGCTAGAATCAACATATGAGTAGACATATG